AAAACCATTACCAGTGCTGGACGTGGACTAGGATGGGGAAGAGGAAGAAGTCAAGCGGGTCTTTAATTTTCTCCTTTCTGCACTCATCCATTAGTGATGTCCAGGGCAGGGTATACTCCAGGGCACACGCATGGCTGCAGCTGGAGATGTGCACCTGTACCGTCCCTCCCAGCGCTCTTGGGGTGTACCTCCTGATGGGAACCAGCCTTCAGCACGGTGCCTCTGCTGCCAGGCTGTCGAACGCCTCCTCCTGGCGGGTGCAGAGCTCGTGTGACAGACATTTTTTGCCAGGGTAATTATTCCACTTTCCCACATAACACTAGCTAACCTCGTTCCAGCATAGCTGCATTTATGTCAGATGCTTTGCTGACCCAGGATTTTGGGCCGGGCAGTGTCTGATTCTTTTCTCTCCAAGATGTCGTATGGCTCTGGCACAACGCCCTAGTGCTGACCAAGCCTAATATTAAAATACAGAAGGGCTGTATTGCTACACTGCGATCCGCCGTGAGGAGAGGGCAGCAAGTAGGTTCAAATCCTCAGAAACAGATCCCTCTAGGAGTCGGAAGGCACTGTGCCTTTTCTGCTGCCTCCTTTGGGAGAGAAAGAAACAATTTCATACCTGCTTGTGAAGCAGATAGTTAGTGGCTGTGACAACACGCTGAAGACCAAAGGCATCAGATTTTAAAGAGACTATTTGACTCTTTATATATAGACCAGTAAAATCTACTCATCAATGCTCACTGGGGGTTGCCTGTGGAAGTTACCTGCTAAATCATGAGTTTTCTAAGTGTTTTGGGGAACTAAAATTGGCATAATTTTCAGTGTCATCCATATTAATCAAGAGAACAGACCACAGTCCAGATCAACTAAGGTGAAAACACTTGTGTCTTTTCAAGACATCCTTTAGAGCAGACTTGGTTAATTGGCATCCAGGTAAAAGAAAACCATGTTAGCCTGTCTAGAAAAGACAGTGCTACTTCTGTTTGAGATGTAAACATTATTTTTATTTCCCATTCATGTGGACTTTCATGCTTTCTGGCCTTTCTTCTGTTTTTGGAAATAAGAACGTTAAAATGACAAAACAAAAGGAACTAGTGGTAGAAAAGTTAAAGAAAAATGGATCATCTCTGGAAGAAATGGAGAGGGGCGATCTTCCTCTGCAAGACCTCGCTGCTCTGTGCAGAAGGCAGGTGGTTCCCCTGTAGTGCCAATGTCCTAACACTGTGAAAAGATTCCACTGGACGTCATGTCCAAGGATGGAGCATACACGAGTGCTAGAAGCTACAGAAATTGATACTGCTGCTAAAGGAATATCCTTAGCCCATATTATACTGTCGTAACCTGAAAGACAGACATTTCTGTGATGTATTTAAATAAACAAAATCTCCAAACAATAGCACTTGGAACTATTTCAAGATCTGTACTGGAATGTATTTGGGTATTACCTGATGTCTGTTATTTTAATTTTAATTCCAATAGGAAGTGTAGCTTAGTGCAATGCTGAGGCAGATCAAGACTGGAAGATCTGGTCTCCAGCCAGATATCTAATATTTAAAGCCGTATTTTTTATCATCTTTTGTAGCTAGAGGCTCTGAAGTCTGGAAACAAAGAAGTCTCACAAACAAAAACAAGCTGTTCTTTGAAGGGTGGAAATAATGAACCTTTTCTCCTACGGGTTTATGTTCTATGCCCCATTCTTCCCCTCCTCGCTGTGTCACTGCAATGATCCCAGCTTCTGTCTCCTGCAATGCCATGTGCTCAGGCCGCTCCCAGCCGGTACTCATCCCATGCTGTCCAGCCCCTGGGTGAGGCAGGAGCAAGGCGAGCCGTACCTGGCTTCGAGGTGTTTGCTGGCCGGGCATCCGCCAGGCCAAACAGAACAGGTGAGACCAGCCGCCTTCGATGCAAATTCCCGATTTAAATCTCTACCTTCTACTCAGACTTTGATTTTCTTCAGTAAGATAGCTGCTGAATTTGTCTGCCACCGCCCGGTAAGTTCGAAATCATTAGCAGAGAACTGGCAGACAGAGACTCGAACCGTTGTTTCTCTTAGAGACCAAGATAAAAATACAAAATGTACCTAATCAAAGTAGTGATAATCTCCTCCTCCCCAGGTCTGAGCCCTGCTCTGATTGACTCGACAGTCTTTTAGGTGCAGGGCACGAGGAACACATTCTCTCATTGACTCTCACAGTTTGCTCTCTCTGAATACAAACGAAACCAAGTTCTGCAATATGACCGTCAGCTTCACCAACTTCTCATATGCCACGTTTTGTGCGTTTTAGGGCCTGAACGTGACCCCTCAAAGGCAGGCAGTATTCAGTCAGTTATACGTGATGTCACCTCTTGAAATTATTGTGATCCCACAACGCATTTAATCGGTACAAAGTTTTGCCATTTCAGCCACCTTTCTTTGTAATGTATCTACTGGAGTAGAAAACATCACCTGAAAAACATACTCTGCTTGGTTAACTCTTGCTTCCAAAAATGCTGAAGAGGTCTTGGAAGACTCTCTGTCACTGACATTAGGAAAATCTTTCTACCTGTATCACCTATAATCGAAGCAGAACAGCCACCCTTATCCCACCAAAGCTCTTTAACTCCAGCAAAACTCACAAGAAGGCAGGGCAGGGACACACGGGACCTCATTCCATCCACACCTTTGCTGTCACAGATGACCACATCACTCTTACGAAATCAGAAAGCTCCAATTCAAAAGACAGTTATTCTATTTTGAGTAACATTAATACATTTATTTAATTGTAATTTACTTTTCATTCATAAAAAGGACAAAGCACGGTCCTGCTCTACTTCATTTGGAAAAAAAAAAAAGATAAAAAGTAACTAAAAAAACAGTTCAATATTCATCAGTATCAAATAATAGTAATATCAAGTTTTCTGAAATATAAAGAAACAACAAATATGTCTATCTATATAAACTTTAATTAAGAACCTTGCATTTTAAAGCAGATGATACATTAGTTAGTTTTTCTTGACAACAATTTGAAACTGAAGGTCCCAGTCAAATTTACACAATTACGTGAAACAGAAAAATCTCCAACTATCTGATCAGTATGTGAGACCTACCTCATCTGTGTTGCTGATTTAAAAAAAGAAGTGGCTTTCCTTCCCAGGTCATTTCCATGCAAAAACTAAACAGTTTTGCTTTTTACACCATGTATTAGAAAAGTAAAAGGCAGTCATGCATTTGGCAAAAGATTTAGTTGTGGTTGTAGTGTATATAAAAATGAGTCATACTGCAAAAGAACCAAACAAAATGAAACACAATAAAACACAATTTTTTTTGTACAGAAGGCTTACAGTGTTTTAGTTTCTTATGTATGAAGACAGATCATTTCTCTTTCAAATAATTATACGATTTATGAAACTCAGTAGTGTTTGACACTTTCACATTCCTCTATAGGGAAGTTATCACTTTCACCTATTTAAAAAATTTTCATCTTGTAACAAATAGTTAAACTGAAACAGTATTATTGATATTTCTTAATGAAGACTCTACACTTTTACATGTAAATATATAGTACAAAATTATACAAATAAAAGAAGGGGGTGTAAACTATTAATAGACCTATTCTTGCTTCATGTAAATATTATTATTACGGACCTCTACAGTATCAGTTCTAAAAAGATAAAATCTATTTCTAAGTAGCTAGCAAGGTTGTGCTAATAAAATATGATTCAAAGCTTATAATTCTTGAAGCATCAGACATTGCACTATTACTTGAGCCAGCTGATTCAGTATCACTGTGTTTCTTCAACATTCACACTCAAACTAATTCCCAGCACACCATGGAAAATGAAAGGAATGTGCATTTCTTTAACAACTTAAAAAAACCCAAACCAACCAACAAAAAAGGCAACACTGAAACACTCTAGACACAGTCAGAACAAAAACATTCTCTACCTCTAATAAGAGTTCCCATTTTGCAAAGGCCATAGTAAACATTTAGATTCGACTAACGGTTGGGCTCTGACTTTCATGTATTAGCACACAGTTGGATCATTCAGTACTCTATCAAATAGGGAGACGGTCTCAGAACTTTAAAACTCTTATTTACAACACTATGAACATTAGAATAATATCAAGTTCTTGAAAAAGCATATAATTCTCCCAAATGTACGCCTTCACTACAGGAAGGTAACACCTGGTATCTGCAGCATAAAAATGTAAATATAATAATTTTTTTACTGTGCTACTCTGTTTTTGCCATTTATTGTATCTCTTTTTCTTTTTTTAATATTTTAAATCTTTTCACTTTAAAAAATAACATACGTTTCTTACCATTTCATGGTCCACTTGGCTGATCTTAACATGGACTCCATCTCCAAACTCCTAAGTGTTACATTGCTACCTTAATAATAATAATAATAATAATAATAGTAATAATACTAAACCAAAACCAATACATTACGCTGCTTCCCTGAAAGCTGACATTTCACTCCTAAAATCAGCAACAACGACCATAACGGAATTTTTCAACAGAATTGTTTTAAGAACAGAATATGGTAAATCTTGTGTCAGTGAAGTACAGGTAAATACCTTTAAGCTGAGCATGCTATGCATGCCTCAGGTGTTCTGAACATCTTCAGAAATAAAAAATTCCTTGTCACCGACTTTTATTTCAAGTCCTTCAAATTCTATCCAATCGCCTCAAGAAATATAGCTCTAAAAAAATGAAATGTTTTTGCTTTGACTGTCTCTCTAAAAACCAGTAATCCCAATAAATGATGATGGGGCCATTCAAAAATATGCAGTACACAAAACATATAGGATAGTACAGACAGACGTAGTACTCTTACATTTATCACATACAATCAACATTTCAATCTCTATTATACTTCACAATTTGTTATTCAAGTTAAAGCACCTACGCATGGTGATTTTACTTTCACTGTACAGCCTATGTTATTGGGTTTTAACACTGTAACTTGCCCCATTGGACCGAATCATGCAACTGTCACAGATCAGCAGAAGTGTTTTATAAGGCATATTGGAACAAGTTAAAAATATTTCTTAGCCTTTCAAAAGTTGATTTACTTCATGAAGGAGTTCCTGGATGCCTCAGTCCTCTTAAAGTTCATAGGAAATTGGTAGGGTAATTTATTTTAAAGTGTAATTTATTTGGCTTAGGATGGTGCCACAGGAATCAAAAAGAGTCGTGGTCCTCATCTTCAAAGGGAGTCCTTTGTGTTAGGCGGAGGACAAGGTAAACCCAGCTACATTCAGAATCCCGAGCAGGCGAGGACACCCAGGGTAGGCACCACCAGGACCAGGAGCAGAGTCGGCACTCCAGCAGCGGCACCTGCACGTCGAACAGATAACAACACAGTGTTGGTCTTACTTCAGTATTACTCACGGCGGAGGGGAACAACCCTGGATGCGAGCAAGAACGCGGGGTACAAAGGCTGGAAAACCAGCTGGCGTATCTCAGCACAGCCCCTACCTGTATGGATAATCTGAAACGGACAAAGAGACTTGCTACGGTACAGCGGAGGACTCGCTCTTTTGTGCTGCAAGAGCTGTTTATGCAGCGTGTTTATACAAGCAGCAAGGCCATTCAGAACACATCAGTGTATTTTGATTTGGCTGGTCCAACAAGCTGGGAGGTTATACCAGGAGGTAAAAGGTCAAAATAAATATTTAAACATGTGAAAACAAAATTAATGGAGTCTTTGAAATGTGACGAAGCAAAGAGACACCTTTGGAAACATTAATGTTCATATGATCAGCAATAATCTGAGAGATGTCAAAGAGCCTGGTTGTTTGTTTACCTGCAGGTTACAAAGTCCAGATGGCTGACTTCTAGTAGTGTGGCATTTACACATTTACGTCTCTTAAAGTCACAAGGTTCTTTCTTAAACAAATATTTTAAGACATAAAATATTAATTGACAGCTTACAAACTTTACATGACTTGCTCTGGCAAACAGGCATAAGAATTGCTATTATGTTAAATGGCTTGTGTTGCCATGGTCCACCTCCCTGTTAAGAAGCATCAGTATGAGAAAATGATCCGTCAAACCGATACTGACTGACAGCCTGGCTGTCAGCCTTGGAGACGAGCCAAAGGAGCTGGAGAACAGTCTATGCTTTCACCGCATTGGGCTCGTCTAGGTCAGGATGGTAACGTGTAGGTGGGCAGTGCAGGACCCAGCGTACTGCTTGTCTTGCTGTTGGACACAGCCTAAGGACAGACGTGCTTGCAGCTGGCGGTGACAGTCCTGAGGAGCTGCTGGAACCGACCCACTGGACAGCTCTCCAGCAAATGTCCTTCTGAATGAGGAAAACCCAGACTGAAAAGGTAACACGTGAACCAAACAGCACAGATTTCAGCAGACAGCCCTGTTTTAGCTAACAACAGGCACAGTGTGACAAATTTCAAGTATTCTTTCATAGAATTTAAAGTCCCAAAAGAGCATTCACATTTTCTCATCAGACCTCTTGCAAGGACAAGTAAATCACATCATCTGGTCCAGCACCATGCAGGCTCCTAGAAAGACAGATCTGTAGGTTTTACATGTCTGCCTCAGAAGTTTCTGCATCTTTCAGGATAAATAAAGAGCTTAATTCTTCATTTTGTGTCTATCTCAAACCTCCTATTAATACGTGCTTTATGAATTATAAGTTAGCAAAACAAGATCCTGAGTGTGAAAAAAATGCTGGTTTGAAGTGAGAATTTGGCCAAATAAATATTTGTAAGTTACCTTCAAGCATTTATTTCTTACAGTATTTCCTACCCACAATAATAAGGAGAAAGTCAGGAAATGAGATGGAAATGAAACTGACTGATAACAAAAAACATTTTTAATAAAATTTGTGGATTAAGTCCAAATCAGAAAACTCCATAGTTCACCAGCTCATCAGTTAGCTGTGGATATATGGAAGTGATAATATTTAGTCATTTGTGGTTCCTACGTAAGTAATTGCAGGTATTTTTTCTGATAGGGTTTTCACAATATGTCTCAATACACTGTGGGTTTGACTTCCTTCTGATCAGCATCTTCTCTGATGTACCATACATGTACTATTTGCAATTCCAAGATGAAAGCTTTGTCCCTCAAACAAGTCATGCCTAAGGATGCTTCTCCTCTTTGCAGAGTCATTTAACTGAGTCTTCATCTGCAGTTCCCCATGTTCATAACACTGTCTCCTTTCCTCATTTGGCTTTAAACAGCCCCACTCCAAACAACGGCAGTTTCAGGCAGTTGTTCGGAAAGCCAGTTGGGAGCATATCTCAAACTAGAGTGCTTAGTCTTCTTTCCTCACAACTGGCTTATTACAATACTTCCCACTAAATCCTGAGCATTGGTACGGTGGAACAATCATGTTCCACCAGATGCATAGTACATGTGTATCACTGGAGAGAGCTGGGTCTAAAGCCTCTTTCAACCTCTTTCATCATGACCTCTTTCATCCAAGAGGTCTCTCTCTAGAGAAGGTGTTAGAGGAGTGTGTGCCCTCCCCATCCCAGGAACAGAAGTATGCTTACGAAGTGACCAAATACCACACGACAGGATGTGCCTACAGCTGTTCATATGCACTTAGGTACAGCTTGTCACCTACCAAATCATTTAACAAAAAGCGGATCATGAGCCACTAGCAAACAGAAGGCCTGACTTGTTTACAGTTGGCTTTTAGTAGTGAATTTAAGTGCTATTAGAAAGTCAGATCTCCTTTCTCCAGAAAGGCAGTGTCTCCTGACCCATGGATGAAGCTCTGTGCAGACCCCATCTGGGATATATTCAGAAGACAGCCTCCAAGACGGAGACAACTATTTCCCCTCCTGTTTCTACCACAGAAGGTGGAAACAAGTATTTTTACATGATCCTGGTTTCTCCATTGTCCCACCAGGAAGAAAGTCCATAACATCTGCCAAGAAGCCAGAATTTTAGAGCTTCCCCCCCAGAATTTATTTTCAATTTCAGCCATATTCCTCTTATTGTCCCCCTTCTTTCTAGGTCCACCACCCTATTCCTCCTGACTCTGGTCCTCACTCAAATCAAGTTTTTCTGCTGCTCCACTGTCTTCCCTGTCCCCCATACTAAACTCCACCCTTTTTCTCTTGCTTCTGATGCCTCAAAACTCGTCTCTGCTCCCATTCCCACCCCTTCCCCTACTGCTGTAGGGATGCTTTCTGAAGTCAAGATTTCTTCCTAAGTCCTTTCTGATATCCAAGCGCTTAGAAAACCAAGACAAGAGACCTACCAATCCTTCTTCATCAGCTCAATTCAGCTGTAAAAAGTACACTTTTACGGATACTACATTTTTCCACAGGAAGCAGTATATCCACCTCAGTGAACGATAACATTAAGGAAAATATTGGAAGATTGCTTTTGTAAATATCCATTAAACAGAGGAATTTTATGCTTAAGATGAACATGAATGTAAGTTCAAATATATTCTCATACATAACAACTCCACATTTTGGCAACTGTGAAAGTACGGGAGTATATTTATCTGTACTTTTTAGTGATTTATGAGACACATTAATCTTTTCTGCAGTCTTTAGCCCTAAATATCGAAGTAATGGTTCTTAATGAATGAATAATAGCCATAGGGAAAAAAAAAAATCCAGATTTTACATTTAAGAATATCCACAGAAAATGTATTCTGCCTTTGTCAGACCAGGATAATGCAGTTGGAAAGACACAACTAAACTCATATTTTGAATGCTTCTAATGAAGGAAAACATGAAAAAAAGTTTGCCGAGTGACGTTAAATGATGAACAAGTATGAGAAAATTTTTTTTGCATGTAACTATTCTACAAAGAGAAAGGAATAATAAATCTTCCCCTGATATGTGCTCGCTGGCTCCAGAATTAATAGTTAGCAATTCACCCCATTACAGCAGTTCCTTACAAGGTTTAGGCACCGTTGCAGAGATATGTATAACAGCTCTCCGCAATGAAGCAAATCCTACCCTTAGACAGCACATTAGCAGAATATTAGGAGGACAAATGCACATTAAACAGATTATCTCTTCTTTTTTCTTGTTAAATTACTGACCCACGTCAAGAACCATACTTTACTTGAAACACCAGTCACCAGTGAATGACAGCCAGTACGCTCCTGCAGCTCATGAATGGAAATTAATGTAAGTTTTGCCTGAGTACAGACTACAAGATTTAATTCTGTGCAGTAATGCAACTGTGACCTGTCAGTTTTAACAATCTTTAAAAACTAGAGAAATGCCAGATAAAGACTTAATGAATGTGTACAAATAAACATGTGGATGTAAATTAAAACAGAAGGATTATTAAGCTCCTTCTGAAGTCTGGCCAGGTACGAGCTGGATATATTTAGCACCTAAAGATTCATTGTCTCCTCAGTGTTATAATGTGTGATCTCTCCTCTCAGCCAGCACCTTGTGTATCCAGCGTGCGTGCAATTGCAAACTACAGTCATCAAAGTCAAGGCCAAAACCAAATCAGTATCACGTGACCTAACCACCACTCTAATACACCATGTGTGGACTTCATATCGCGAGTCCTCATTTCTTTCAAATAAACAATGAAATGCACACCTTAAATTTGTTTTTTTCCAACAGCCCCAAGCAAAAGAAGTTGTGAAATCTTGTTATACTCCCATAGAGACCTTGCTACTGTCTGCTGTAGAGTTCCTGTAGTTGATATTTTTAAGCCTAGGACTAAAGTATCTACAGAAACATCTACTCAGAGTGTAGCTTAAAATCGAATACAATTTGTATGAGATGCATGCAGTTTACCTAATGTTTTTCCCTGCCTCCTGTTCTCAGCAGCCTTTCTCACAAGTGGTTGTTTATCTGAGTAAATGAAGAGAACAACTGCTGGACGGATTTTTCTTCAACAAGATCTTTACATATCACAGGAACTCCTGGTAACGTCCCACTAAGCCACAGCTTTCTATTTGTATTTTAAATTCTGTGTTGCCATCTCAATCACATAAAGTCTAAGATGAAATATTTTACACTGCTGAATAGTGTAAAATATTTACACTATTTTACTGACATCTCGAACAGTATGCAACATTTTTCCACTTATATTCAAAAGTAATGAAATCAATTTAATGCCTAAGTGAAACAGGTGTTAAAACAATTCAGATTTTGATGTATTTCCCAAGCCTTTGTAACAATTTGCTATTAAAAATACGTCATTATTTTCTTTAAATGTTACTTATCTTTAAGGTATGACATTTTTGGCCCTTTTCCCAGCATCATGTATCTTTTTATACTGGATTGTAAAAAAAAAAATGTAGAGGCCTGCATAACAATCTTACTTTCATCAGATCTGTGAACCAGGAAATTAGTTACTGGTCATCTGTGAAG